GCTTTCACTTGCTTGTTTTGGTGTGAATGAATATAATACATCTAATGGTGGATGTCGTAGAAGATAATTTGTTTTGGAAATTAATGTGTTCGAAATTTAATCTAATTAATGATGATTGCTTCACTAGAGAGATATTTCCGCATGATTAAGTCATTTGCATCTTTTACACAAAGCATCTCAATTTCTTCCACTTTTATATTTCATTGATCACAAAATAATACTTGCACATTCCGGGAAAAATTTGATGAAAATTAACTTCTAACACTGTATTTCTAAGCCTTTATTTGGATAAATCCTATTTTTTATAAATTTATTTGATAAAAAACAGAGGAGGAAGGAAAAGCAATACTACAAAGATAAGATAGAGACACTTGGCCCGTAGAATATTTTTTAGTCTATATAAAAGAGTTGTCCAAAATTGACTTATATGTTGTTAATATTTTTACATAGGAAGGATGCATAAAATAGACAGATTCATGTCAATATAAGGAAGTCGAGAATTACTAATTATTGTTAGACACTAACTAAACCGTGAGAAGTGCATTTCAAATATGTATCGTATTTCAAATTTCTTTTGAAGTAAAAGACTGAAGTATATCTTTGTGAAAAGCCTGGATTTTGTCTTGAATAATCTTCCCCAAATTACAGCTCCAAAAGAAATGTTAGAATATCCACTGCTTCCATCTTATCATGAAAGCATTGCCCAAACGCAGCATGCATCTGTGCTTGTAAGGTTTAATCTTTTAAAAAATTCTATTCAACATATGATCAATAAGGGATAGATTGAAGATTTTGTCCAGTCATAAAATGGCGTATTGTCTTTGGAGATTGTCAGTGATTAATTTTTGTCCACTAATTATTATTTTTTCTTGAAGTTCTAGGACAGATTTAAATTGCCAGCTTTTTTTCAAAAAAATCAAAATTTGATTTGAAGATCTTTTAAAATTTCCCTTTCTTTCCAGAAACCATCTGCTCAATTGCCAGAAATAACGACAGCACGTCTGCCCTATCTTCATCTCCCTCAATCAGTAGCAGTTCAACAATATATGTCAAATAGCTTGACCTTATTAGAGAATGATTGCATTGTCGCACCAATCACGTCACAATGTTCGGGCCTTATTAAAGCTAACCTTACACATGGTGTTCGTAAAGTGATCCTTAACCGTACTAAAGGTAAAAAGTACGGAGTGAGGATGCGTGCAGTCAATCAGGTATTTTCATCTGATTTTCAGGTTATTGCTTCCAGCAAAAACTCTTACGATTACACAGCAAAAGATTTATACTGTAGGAACTTTCAGTCGAGAATAAAACTTTGATATATGCTGATCATTCATACTTCCCAAGATCCCATATTTTCCTAAGGGTTTTAATCCGAAACAGTCTGATGGGCAAATGCAGTTGACAAATAGCCAGTGAACTTTCGATATGAACTCTTGAATGTTAGCTATTCAGATTAATTTTGAAAAATTTCCAGAATTTTTTATAAGTGAGATCTACACAAAGTGGCTCTGTCTTGTAAATTTCATTTAGAATTTTATATACGTGAAGTGTTGCGAGAGTATCATTTGTTCGAGTATTTTTAGGGAGTTTTTGTCCAGTTGGTAGCTGAAGGTTCTCCAGCTGCAGCTGCTGGTATCCGATTTGGTGATCAACTGCTTAACTTAAATGGCACCGATGTTCTTGGAATGAGCGGGCAAAAGGTTATTTGCATTTTTTTTAGAAGTATGTTCTCTTAAAATTTAGATAATGTCAAAAAATAACTTTATTCTATGATAATCTTTAGAATTTTATGTTTTCAGGTAATGGATATAATGAAGAAATCAAAACATGAAGTGGTTCTCATGTTCAAAGACAGGTACATACAATTAACTTGACATTGAAAATAGTCATTATCAAAAATACGAAATAAGAATGAAATTATAAACAAAATCCTTTCGGAATCTCATTAAAACAGATAACAGTGCTTCTCCTGCTCTGCCTCCAGCAGTGTTTTTTTTTTTTTTTTTTTTTTTTTTTTTTACAGTGTTAATAGTTTAAAAAAACAGTCTATTCTAAGGAGTCTTCTGATAAAAGTGATAGATTGATAGGTCTTCTTCATCTTTGCTTGATAATTTTAGTTTTTTATTATTTTAAAGACATCAGGATAGTTATAATAATATTTAAAAAATTGGAAAAATTGTAGAATATAAAATGGCGGTTTGTAAGGATAGAAAACGATGGATCGTAGTTGCCATAATCAACATCCCCGATAACCTAATAATTTATTCACCGTAGTGTTAAAAACGACAACAGCTTTCAGTGCAGATACATCTGTTGATTGCAGAACTTCACTTCAAAAACATTGCTGAAGTCCTTGCAGGGAACGAAGCTAATTATACTTAATTTATTATCAGAGGCATGAACACATGACGCATTTGAAATATTCAATGACTTAATCAACAAAAGACTCTTCCAAATAATTTCATAGAATCTTCGGTTAATATTGATCATAGCATATTTGGAATATTCAGATAGTATATATATATATATATATATTTATAATATTTATATATATATATATATATAATCGTGCTATCTTTATTATTGTGATAAAATCATTCATAATTTCTTTGACACTAAAGTTTTCAAGATATATTGTAAGATTCAGAGCATTATTTAAAATTCTACAGGTCCTTTATATATTCGCTTTAGGCCGCTAGCCAGAACGATAACGTTACATAAAGATGTAAACGGCTTGTTAGGATTCGCATTTAAGGATAATCTTATCACAGCAGTGATGCAGGAATCAAGTGCTAGTCGGAATGGATTGCTTATCAATCAACGAATCATTGAAGTGGATGGACAAAATGTGATGGCTTTTAAGGTTAACTTATCCAAAATTTTACCTAAACTTGCTTATATCATTCAGTTGCGATATAAAAGCTTGATTATCTATTTATTTATTGGTCTTCTCTTTTAAAATTTGATAATAAGAGACCAATTTTAACCTCGGCTGTTTTGTTGACAATGATCAGCAAATGGAAAGAATTTATAAATTTTATATTGGTCTATACATAAAATTGGCCTATACAAAACAGATATGAGCAGAATTATAACATTATTCTAATGTGTTCAGTGCGATTAAAAATATTATATATAAATATCTTATATAGCGACTAAAAAATAAATATCTTATAAAAAAAATATATATATATTTTTTTAATATCTTGTATTTTAGATTATTTTTACATGAGGTAATATTTTTTTGGATAACTTGGTCCAATTTTATCCATTTTCATTTCAGAACAAAGCGATTAAATCCTGTTTGGATAATGCCCCAATGACAGTCACATTAACACTCATGCCTACAGAATTTTATGATGAAATTATAAAAAAGTCAGTCAAATATATCAAATTTTATCAATTAAATTTAATTCCAAGATTTTTCCTTAACCGACCGAGACCACTTCAGAAGCTTTGTTTAAGTGTAAACTGAATACTTTATCTGTATATATATAATTAAGCGTGAACAAATTATGTGCACTAGGACAATTAAATGGACGGTGAAACGTTAAATGTTGGCATTACAAAGCTATGTCGGTCAAAACTGTGCATTGACATTCGTCGAAAAAGGCTTATAGTACCACCCAGTCCTTTTCATGAATTCATCATTCAACTGGAAAGTTAATATTACAAATGACCGGTTTTCATCCCCCATGCTTGAAATTTCTAAGAGAAATTTTGTCTGATGTTGCCTCTAGTCATAAAGTGACATTTATTAAATGCAAAAAAATAAAGATAGAAAGACAAATTAATCAGTTGCGTGATTATTCAGTTATTTTTTTCAGTTTGGATCGATCCTTAATGAAAAAACAGAATCATACTGTGCCACAATTGTGATGTCGCCGAAAATCAGCATAATAATGCATATGCATGCATGCATGAATTATGCAAGTTATGATTATATGTGCATTTCTTAGTAAAACTAGCATCTACTTTTACTTTCAGACTTTTAAAATTTCTATTTTAAATAAATTTTAATTACACATTTATAGATGTATTGAAACATGCTTAACCTAAACTGATATACACCACCGAAAGTATGATGCAATATTTTACGAATTAGTTTTTCTGACATTTTTGCTTAATGGAATTAATCTTATGAAAGACCTCCATTCTCGACATCATGAAAACAGTTCCATGAGATAGTGTCCTCGAGGTCTGTCTTCGAATCTTTATCTAATTTATTCTATACAGAACTGTATTTTTTTGATTATACTGCCAATAAATGATGCTATCAGTTCCCCCATTGTAATTGGTACTATCGAATCTTGATCGAATATGTCTGCAATGAACTTTTCATATGAGATTAGGTCGGTAAATTTCACTAAAGATAAGTTTCCGTAAGCATTATGAATTCATTTTCCAGAATTTTCGTATTTTATTAGTTATTTATGTAGTGGTAAATTGCAGGTAAATTGCATGTAAAACAATATGGTTTATAAAGCATATAGTGAAAATGTGAATCATTAGGCTAAAACTGTAGAGAATTTTCAAAAATTTTGAAAAGTTTTAGATGTTAAACGTAGGAAGGAGAATCCATGTAGGTATGAAAATAAGTCAGTAATTTAAAAATAGGATTGAATGTACTGGGTATAACGAGAAGGATGCATTTTCTTTTCTGGACTTTTCTAAATAACAGTTGTAATAGAAAGTGCTGCTACATTTGCTGTCGAATTTCAGCAACAGATATATCGATTGATGGACACATAAAATAACTGATAACTTCTTAAGAAGCTTTTTGATAAGGTCTGTTCATTTCCACTCCAACTCATTATCTATTCCTCTCCCATGTATGCTTAACAGGTGGCAATTTTAACAAAATACATTTTGCAATAGAATGACATGACCTTTATTTTTACCATCAAATCAGAATGCTATCGATAATCACTAAACGGTTTGATAATGGTGATAAAAAGATCGGCTTGTATTTGAGCCATTCCAAACATTTTATTTTAATTTCAGCCAAATCTGAAATTATTTCTTCTTGTGTATTACATATCCTAAAATTCTTTGAATCAATTCTACATTCATGTCACATTTTTTACTTTGTATGCTGTAAAAAAATTTTTTGAGATTTTTACAGTTTAAATTTTCATCAAAGTTGCTAGCATACCTAAGTCGTTCTGCTTCGTTCAGTGATGCAACAACTCGATCAGCAAGTGGTGAAAGTTTGTTTTCTTCTCTGTAAATTCACTTCCGTCAAGAAATCAATTCAAGAAGTGTCCATTTTAAATTTCAAATTATATTGATCACTCGGGTAATAATGGTAGTTTCATTGCTATCAAGTTTGCAGTTTATTGTGTTAGACATACGATTTCACTTATTTCTCAGACTGTAGGCTTATTTATATAACCAAACTGCGGAATTCTTTCCGATCAGAATTTCTTCCTCCTACTTGTACAGCAAAATTATTTGATGTTCATCACTAAACCATTCATTTTCATCTAATATTCATGTTCATCTATTGAGAAGCTTCAAAAAGCTAGACAAAATTTTTCCCGGAAGGATATGATAATTCTCAGATGGCAGATTGTTCAGTTATTCTGCACTAGCATCCATAAGACCGATCACTGCTAGAAAGTTCGCTTCTCTTTATAGCTTCTTCAAATTAAAGTTCAAGGCGTTTTGCTTTTATTATTTTATTTTAATTCATATCTCTCATAATATACAGTTTATATTTGCATTCGAGTCAGCATTCTAGCAATGTTATGAGCATGACATCTGATATTTAGATGACAGACCAAATAGATTCAACTAACTGCGGTAGGATGATTTTATTGAACAGCTCAGAGTCATCTGATCGTTTCCCGTAGCGCAACCTCAGAGCACCGTTGATAGCCGATGCAACTTTTTTGAGATCATTATTTGATCGTCTGGCGCGATCCGTTTGCACATTGCTTCAGTTTTAAATTTTTTGTCAAAAAAAGATGGTTCTGAGATAGCTTGAAAATTATGAAATTCCGGTTTTGAATAGATTTCAAGCAGGTATGGATTTTATAACTTATTCAAAAATTCAAGTGGTTCACTTCAATAATTAACGAAAAATTCTTACCTGACGAGAAGTACAAGTAAAAGCAATGTGCCAGCAAATAAATAAACTTTTGTCATTGTATAGTAAATTTCAGATTATTTGCTTCACAGTTATTGCAGCGCTGAAGAAGAAAAATTCAATCGTCTTCTGAAGGTTTATGAATTGAAACAAATACCGCATCTTCTTGATTATCACAACTGATACAAATCAGTGAATTAAAAAAAATTTCATGTTTAGCATAGAATAAATTCAGTATGAAGTTTTTTCAAACAGTTTTAGTTGCTGTGTATTGCGCAAAAAAAAAAAAAATTTTAGCGCAGATTAGATTTCCATGAAACTCATTTGTAAAGCTGTCAAATACTGCTGCTCTACTCATATATTTTTAATTTTCTTAGTAATGAATAAAAAATTAGTGGAAAAATTATCGTCACAAAATTAATATATGAGTAGGTGAAAAGATAACAAACAACACAGGGGAAGTATTCCCGTTGTCCTATGAATAGGTGACTTTTTTAACATAAACATTTTGATGCTAAAGTGGAGAAGCACTATTCATTTGGTAGTTATTTATTTCTCTAGATTTTAAATTATTAATTAGTTTCCATTGGTTAAGCAACGAAGTTCACCTTAGTTTTGCAAAATTTTCACTAAAATGTTTTAATTTCTAAAGTAGTTTTGTAGTGTTTTCAATAGAACATATGAGAAAAAAAAGTAGATTAAAACTCCTTCAGTAATCTTCCAGCTCACTTCATTTTATTTCAAGTTATTAACATGAAAGTAAAAAGGAAAAATATAAGATATGCTTATATGTTGCAGACTGCATCGCATCTTGCATCTTGCAAAATGAGTTAACAATGCTTCTCGTTCCATCGTTTGATTTCGGACTGTATGTTTCAGAGCATAGATTCATCTATAATACGAGAATTGTGATATCTATTTTTCACTTAATCTCTAATAATATCTTAGATAATCAAACCGAACGATGATAACAAGTGGAACTGAGTACATTATCACTTCTACTTAAATATAACTGTTCTCAAACAACTTGCTAACTTCGAACAGATTATTTCAATCAATGAATTGAATTTTGCTTTTCTTCAGAAAAAATAAGCAAGTCACTTGACGAATCATTTTCACTGTAATTCGTAGAATTAAATTAGTACCAGAAATATTTGCAACAAAATATAAATTTATTGCAAAAATTTATTGAAATTCAGAAAGAAGTCTAGTGAATTTACACAAATTTCATGCAAAATTTTTCAATTTTAATTTTCTAAAATCGAACATTTAAATGAAATAAAGGAATGGTAATCAAAGCATATATATATAGTCTATGTCATTTGTCACCACTGCTTTGCTGACATTTCAAGAAACAATACATAAAAATTGAAGAATTGGTATCAGTGAGCACTTAGTTCATTTAAGGAGGGATACCCATGTATGTCATTATTCAGACTCATCATTTCATTTATCTAATGCAAATGACTTTTTATTCTTTATTTAAAACTTATTCAATTCGAATATCCGAACATATCATTTACTCAATCCTTTCCTTATGCAACGACCATGTTTTGCTCTTATTGTTGTTAAATATTCTAAAGTTAAGAGGTGAAAATGCAACAGTAATAGTTAATTATATCAGTTGATATTTGAGAATGACTGGTGACTGGAGAAATACGAACCGAACAACAAGTAAAGGTAAGAATAGCCCAACCAGTTTAAACTTCACTTTTGAATCGTGCGCTATTTTAAAAAACTTGGAAACCTCATTCTTATCAATAATTTTTTGAATTAAGAAAAATAAATTACAGTGAAGGAGAAAATGACATAAAAAAAAATACTCGCCAGTTGTTTTCATATTTTGTAAAAAATTCTGTTTTTGTTTAATGGCAAGAATATTTTTCAAATCTTTTTAGCCATTAAATTTACTTTGATTATTTAATGTCAAATATTAAGTAAAGTGAGGTAAAGAAAGTCAAATATGATGTAAAATGAATTAAGAAGTAAGTATTTGCAATGATAATCTAAGGTAACAGAAATACCAATATGTAAACTTAGTTAAGCACTGATATACAAAATTAAATGTGGTTGGTTCGAGAATTTCACATAAAACTTTTCCCGACTTTGATTTCATTAAATTTCCTGATAAAGTGAAAAAAGGGTGAAAACATTGAACTTTCATTCCTCGCCACTTCAATAAAATCGCTTGATACTTTTAAAATAAAAGGCTTCCTGTCATTTTAAAGTAGACCTTGTAACCGCTCATTGGATTTCAAAAGGGTATATTTTCTGTTCAACGTATAATTTTATATACCTCATAATTTTAAATTAGAAACTTTGATGTGTATTGAAAGGTACAAGTTTATTTGAATGTAAAGAAATATACATCTACATAGCATTTATGCACTTTCTAGATTATTCATCAGTATTAAAAACACAAAATACCACTACTTGGTACGCGAAAGTAAATCTTAACAGGAAAAGGTCATTCTTCGAGAAAAAATTTGTAAATTTGAAAAAAGAAATATCAAAATCATTTTACTTCACCAGTTTTTCTAATTTTTTATTTGTAAAATCCAATTTTCGATTGACAAAAAAGTTTCTCTGCTGATTGTCAAAATTACTTAGGTGAGATGATATTTGAAAGAATGATATGTTATCAAAGGGCTAGCAAAAAAATCCTAGAAGTTAATATTTGAAAACAGATTAAATGATAAATAGTTCTTTGATCCTTTGCTGATAAAATTATATATAAAATTAGCTAATTCACTCTTCAGAGGAAAAAGAAGTTAAGAGAAAAATTTTCCATCCTGCATTAATTATAGTTTGTTTTAAAAGACCTCAATTTCCATTGTTGAATAGCTCTCAAACTGATTAGCAAATTTATAATTGATAAAATTGTACCATAAAAAAATATTACAATTTACCTTTTCATATAAAAGTTTCGTGATTTTCATGATGTTAAGAGGAAAGAAATATACATAAGATCAGAAACAAAGGAAATGGATGAAAGCTTGTAACAAAAAATCAAAACACAAAAACAAAATGGAATGATTAATATTATAAATAAAATGGAATGATTAATATTAATTTGATAAACGCTGAAAAAAATTTTAAAGCATCATAAAAAAGAGAATGATTAATATTGAATTTAATGATAAACGCTGAAAAATTTTAAAGCATCATAAAAAATATTGGCAAATTTAAAATATTTTTCTGTGGAAGTATTAAATATTTGCTCTAATTTTGATGGTTTTAATCTGAAATTTAGGAATTTGAAACCTGCGTGTGCTATCTTAAAATCTTCAACTTCAAAAGGAAAATTGTTTATTCCCACTTCTCGTATTGAATGTACTTTCAATTTTTATTTCCCCTAATCATTGAATTTTCTCCTTCAAATTAAAAAATATTTTAAAGATTGCCGATACTCAAGAAGTACATGAAGGAATTGATGAGAATACATTATTAAATTTATTCGATAGAGTAGCACTGACGGAAACTTATACACTACGAAGGTATTTTTGGAAGATCAATTTGGATAAGTAGTAATCGGTTTTGAGAGTAGAGGGAGTATAAGATAGTGACAGCTATGAGAATTGAAATAAACACGTCGCAGAGACACCTGCCTTCAAAGATACATTTCCGCCACTTTTATGAATCAGAATATTTCAAACAATGAATAGCAACAAATGTGTTGATAATAATGTTGTTTGACATATATGCTTGCGTTTGTGTAAGTTACCGCCTGGAGTTGTGTTAAGTTAAACAATCTAGTTGACGTATCACGTCATGTAGAACATAATACTATCACATAATAATACCATTGTCAGGATCCAAACGGTGGTACCACAGATTGATTTGAAATGAAAATGTAAAAAAAAAAGGCACAAAAAAAATTCCAGAATCATGATTAAACACTTAGAATAAAGAACTCCTAAATAAGAATTACCATCAATGACAAGGACAGGATTATAATGAGCTTGACAAGTTCTAAAATTTGTTGCGAAATTGGCCTTTCGCATCATTAAGAATTTTTTGTAAATTATTGCTCATTAGGAAAAAATAAAATATATTAACACTCACTTTCAGTCTCCAGCTCTTACCTGATGTAAACACTCATTCGAAATATTTAGCTAATCAGCACTTTGTAAGAGAATCACAGCGCAATAAATCAGACAGCCAAATGAATGAGTATGTATCATTTGTGGGAAATGCATTATTTAACATAATGATTTGTTGGAAAATTTTCTTTGAAAATGAGTTCGCAAGGCACTTGAATTTCGCATGAGATTCTAAAAGATGGACATATTCCAGAGGTTAAATAAAATGCTCGAAGAATGAAATGGAGTAGGGTCTAATAAAATAAAGATGGAAATGACTAAAGAGAGCAATAAATTAAAAGTCTAAGTAATTTTAATACAGAAAAATTCACAAGGTGGAAGAATCATAAACTTTCCGGAATTTCTATTTACTTTTGAAATAAGAAATCTTAGAGTTTTATTTTTTTGAAATAGAAAACGATTATGTGTGCAAAGGTTAGAGTAAATAAAAATTGTAACCATAAAGAAATGCAAAACATTGAGAAATGTAAGGAAAGAATTTAATTTAGATGAATTCAACGAAAATTTATTGAAAAATCTAAACGAATTCAATATAAAATTAAATGAAGTCTGAAATGTAAAAGCATCGTTCTCATAAAATCCTAAATCCTACAATACTAAGGAAAATAAAGTTCCCTTCTATCGTGTTATCATAAACCAAACCAAAAATTGATCAGTATGAGATTGTTCGATCCTCACTTCCTATATCACAGTTAATCACCAGATACTACCCTTTATTTCAGTCTTAATTTGTTAGCATTATGTTAATGTTTTTTGTTGGGTAATGTTTCTTTCTATTATTAATTAAAGGGATAGGGCAATTGCTGGTTTCGGGAGTGTCAATCCTTTACAGTTCTTTGTTTCAAAGTTTCTTTTTCCAATAATGTGACATAGACTTCTCGCTATTTGCAGCAATATTTTCATTGTAAATCCAGTTTATTCTCTCAAATAAATATTCCTGTAATTTGCGAAGGTTCTCAGAAATGCGAATAATTCTCCTCGAAGCAATTACTCTTCGAAGCGAAAACGAAGGAAAGAAAAAGTTCTTTTTCCTGTTTTGCATGAGCCCAATTCAGACTAAAACTGAAATAAGTTTTTTGAAAACCAGGAACTGCTCCATCTTACAGACTCATACCTTTACGGTGAAAAAAGTTCAGTGGAGACCTACGAGGATATCCCATTCTAATCATACAACTCTTATTTAGAATATCATGCGAAATGACTAAATTTTCGAAATCTAAACTATAAGGGCTGCCAGAAAACTTGATAAACAAGTGGAAAAATGAATTAGACTTTAAAACTGTCAGGCATCTTCTCCAGATTAAAAACGCGTACCAATTTTTAATCTGGAGAAGTTACTGGATACTTGGTTAACTAACAATATCAGTCACAAAAACATTAGTCCATTCACGAAATAAGAAAATATTAGCATAGATCAATACTGCCAGAAGAAGCGTGAGTAAAATCACATTAATTTTACTTCTGCTGCTTCCCATGCCACCGCAAAACATGTCTGACCAACTAAAAGTGAGAAACGTGATCTTGGTCAATTAAAAATCAAAATAGCAAATTTGTGGCATGTTTAAAACTTTAAGAAACTGAATTATTGAATTCTGAACAACGCAATAATTTCTTCAACACAGAAACATACCAAGCAGGACCAGAAAGAAAGTTTAAAACTGAAGCTAGCGTTAATTTCTTGAAATAGCAAAATAAAATGAAAAAGATCAATGAGAAACTGTCATGCGACTATCCTCTAAGCAAGAGCCAATAGGCACTTACGAATGCATTTTTTAATTCTAGTAATCCACACGATACATTTCAGATATTTTGCAATAGCTGTTGGCATCATTTCTTTCATGTTTATGTTAAAAGTAAGGAGGACAGTACAAGCGTATCAAATATTTTAAGCGAACAAAATTATAAGAAAAGCTATTACTTTATGAAGAAAAGATATCTGAATAAGTCACAAATTCCGGAGGATGGCAGACATACAGGTAATGGTAGCCATTAGACTAAAACAGAGATATTATCTATGCGTTAAAAGGAAAACTGGATATATACTTCAATAAATAAAAACTCTCAAGATGGTAAACAAATTCATCAATAGGTATTCATTATTCTTTTGCCTTTCTAACTTTTTTCTTCAAATTTTCAATATCAATAGGAACTTCATTAGCTCGTTTATAGCTATTCTTAGGTCTTGTTTTCCCATCTGGAGGCATATATTCTGATGCGCGCTGCTTCTTACGTTCAGCTGTCTTTTCCATCTAAAACAGCCAAAATAGAATTGCACGTTGTGCAATTTGCAAATAATGCAATGCTACTGCAAATAATGCAATGCTACTATGAATTTTAAAAATGAAAAGAAAAACCTCCAAAAACCAACTTAAAGATTACCTGTTTTGTGCGTTTCTCGTTACGCTTTTCCATTTGCCTTGTCTTCTCACTTAAGAAATATTCTCCACTTTCAAGCTGCTTATCAATCTAAAGCTCAATTTCAAATAAAGTTAGCAGTGAAAAAAACTGTCCACAATCAGTTCTCCTTCAAAACACTAATTATGATTAAAATTGTGTACTAAAATAAACTGAGAATATTATTTTTATCTTAAACTAGCAAAGAAATGAATATCTACTATTACTTTACTAAATAATATAACAAAACTACTTTGCTCATAACAGGTGGAGGAGGAAATGGGGTGTATTCAGCTTTTTTCTTCCACCGCGCAGCTTTTTTTTTCTTTGCTTGATTTGTTGATTGAGAAGGTTGTACCTGTAGATAAATTTCTTTATTATTAAAAAAAATTACGCAAAATTATGCCACATTTTATAATACAAGAAACAATTAAACACTCGAAAATTTATACCTTCTTTTTGAATTTCGGTAAAAAGCGATCCCAATTTTCATTCTTCAAATTTTCATCTTTCATTAATTCACGTTTAATCATCAATGTTTTGATGTTATAGATAGGATGTATATTATTCATACAATCCTCCACTATCATTCTAACATGTTTCAATCCCTAGAAATAGTATTGATTATGCTCGGACAAAATACTTTTTTCCTTTGCGATCATAATACGGGAAAAGAAAACTTTCATCAACAGATTTGCTCAATCATTCAATACAATCTCAGCCAAGTTGTTCTTTGCAGTTTAATTTACTATTATAATTTAAGTCTTACAGCGCAGTGTCTAATTTATTTGAAACTGAACTATGCAGATGGATTCGATAATTATCGATACAAATGTTCTTGCCAAAATAAGTAATAAGCAAATTAGTCACATGCAATCAATTGCTGTAAAGTAGAAAAAATAGAAAACAAACTTCATATGGGCCAACAGCTGCCACTGTACTACCTTGAACCATAATATAGCATTTCGTAAGCAGTTCAATTGCTTTCAGTGTTGCTCCTTCATTACCGATCAGTCTTGCACGACGTTTAACAAATCGCTCCTTATTTGCTACCATCGAACTGATTTTAATAATTTCACTTGCAGTGTCATCTTGAAGGACTCGTACTGCTTGTTCATACGGTACACTCCTTGAAATCAACTTCAAGACATCACGAGCCTACAAAATCCCTGAATGTTCGAGTCCTAGATAGATCATAAATCACTAATCAATAAACAGCTAAATTACTGACAACAGATTATAATATAATGAACTAATATAATATATTATATGGAATACTTTTATTATAATATATGGGTCCCATGTTTTCCTAGTCGTCTTAACGACCACTGTTCCTTCTAGTACATCCAGATCAGCCTTCAAAAAATGTTCTTCGAATACTTTTTGTATCAGTGGCCAACATTCTCTGGAATAGAAGAAATATATCAAATATTACCAAAGAAAAATAATTCCAGCAAAAAATAACAGAATGGAATTCAAAGCCCAAAAGAAAGTGAAACAAGTTTAAAGGTACATAGCAAAACCAAGGTAATGAATTCATTTTTCAGGTACCATATCCAAACTTTCAAAAAATACATAATGAGAGATTTCTGTTGAACGAGTTAAAGGAATGGATAAACTGAGAGTATGATCCCTATATCAATTACTTATCTTTAAATTAAATTGAAACGAAACTAGCAAACCTGATATATTTCTCGCGATACTTTGGGAAAAGAATGGCAAATGAAGATTCACAAACTAGTCCATTTGGGTTATCTTCTTTCGAAAATGTCGAGATGTCCCACCATTTTGGATCTTTCCCAGCAATTAAAACTTTCGATGTTGACGCAGCATCACCCTTGGCTCCTTCCGATCCAGCCATGAGAATTCTGTAAATAGTGATAAACACTAGCCGTTCTGGAAGCTATCAGCCACAATCCATGAAAAAAAAAAGTATTTCCTGAACTACTGGAACTTAATAAAACTCTCTACAAACAAATACCTCACTAAGTTCTCAGAGACAAATACTAGGAATTAATTGCACATTGTTGCCATTTCGTTTCAAAACGCGTAGTACAGCGATTTAGCACGGTTTGTTTGCGCCATTGGGGAATCGTAGTTGCGTAGATTTTGTCGTACGGTATCGGTTTAGATAAAGTACTGTCTGTCCCAAGTCGCCTCAGTCTGTCTTCTAAATCTTTAGATTTATAATTGTCAAAGTATCGTTCAGGAATTGTATTGGTTTTATTATTGCGATGGCTGTACCACCAAGATTTCCTGGTATGATTCCAGCTTATGGTGTTCAAATTCCTCAAATGACGCCGATGAGTAAGTTTTCGAAACATTTTAATTTGTTTTGGGAGTATCTCCCTTGTTAGTGGAAGCATTAGTCATATCTGCTGCCACCTTTGATATGGTTTGTGATGCTGATTGCTTGATCGTACAAACTGCGAAGAAAATTGATGTCTTTAATCATTTTGGAAATGATCAATATTTATTTACTTGTGCGTTTAAGTTATCCTTTAGAGATTCTATTTTACAAGTTCCTAGCATCATCAAGCTTTTTATTAGCTACTGTGGTCATTACTGTGAATCAGTCAGTTTTTCCGAGCATAACTCTTTCTGCTTTTCTACTCGGAAGCAATGCATTTCGTAAATGAATTGACATTTGTGGGGATTGCCGTTTTCCTCGACTGTAGTTTTGTATTTTTTGTTCTTATCGTCGTAACAAAAATATAATATAACAAGCCTTATTTTTTTAAAATTTCCTTCTCTCGTGCTGGATGGTTGTTTGTAGTTATAAACTATTACTCCTGTTTTGGATCTTGATCCTTGTGGTTAAAATTTCTTGTTCGATTCCTTTTTGCATTCCATCTGTCTTTTGAATGACTTTCTCAGTGCTTGATGTGGAACATGACCAGCAAATTTTAAAGGCTTTTCTAATTTTGGCAGGAATTATTGATGTCATGTGTCATTAGTGCAGCCGTCTCCTTCCGATAGTCTAGAGTTCTAGAAATCAAAAGTCAAATTTAATTTTTCAGAATTATTGAAGTATCAAAACATTCTTGTATGTATAATTATACATTAAAAACAGCAAAATTTGTTCTTTTAAATCATGCGAAAGAGATTTGTAAATTGAAATGGTAAAAAGTCTATGCATCATTTACTGAAGTTTTGCTTTTTGGCTTTTCTCTATGCATCGTCAGACGTTTTGGATGTATCACAATTGTAGAGAATGCTTATTGTGTTTTTTCTTGAAAAGATAATTTTTCATCTTTTTTTTCTTAAAAGATCTTTTATCCTGATAATAGCATAATTTAACTGATTATAACAAATAATTTTTCTCTATTTATACTGTGCATTTCTTGATTAATTAAGATGAAACATTTTCATAAGCTTGAATCAATTTATTTCATTTTTAGTCGACATGATTAATTTTAGTGCCTTTTCCGAATCCTTATTTCATGCCAAATCCTATTATGGCCGCGGCTGCTGCACAGCGGATGGCGGCGCCACCCGCACCACAACCTAAGGTATTTTATTTACAATTTTCTTGTATCCTGAAATGAGAAAAAAAAGTATAAAAAAAAAGTAAAAAAGAAAAAGTTTTTTTTGTGTAGGTTCAGTGGATTGTTATTTCAGCCTCCAGAAAAACCGCCCGTCACAACAGTGTTTGTTGGTAATATAAATGAGAAATGCGGCAATGAGCTGATACGAGCTATTTTAACGGTAGATGTTTCATAATAAGTAATAGCGTATGATTATGCATGCAAACATACAAAGAAATGAATGCTCGATAATTCATCATAAATTCTTGGCAAACTGAATGTTGTGTTTAATTTTTTTTATCCGTTCATATACTGGTAATCTTAAAAATTGTTGATATTACAAAAATCTAGTTTTTGATTCATTTAGTTTATTTTGGGATATTATGCATATTTAAATCTTGAAATTTTGGAGGAATGTGGTGCAGTTGCAACATGGAAGCGCATTCAAGGTTCCAATGGGAAATTTCAAGCATTTGGTTTTTGTGAATTTGAAAGTCCATTTGGCACTATGCGAGCTTTACGAATTTTGCATGATTATCCACTCGCTGAGAAGAAATTAGTAGTTAAAGTTAGTTTTCAATATGGAAATGAAATTTTACTTATAGAAACATGACAATGGGAGGTGGAAAAAAAACCAGATAAATCATAGGTACGTAGGTACATTTAGAGTAAAGCCCAGTGATATTGAAAAGGCATGTTATTTGGAATCGGACTAAAAAAGACAAAGGCAATTAATTGTATCGAATAAGTTTTCATGTATTCGATAATTGTGTTGCAGGTTTTTCTTTTTTTAATCATTTTACGTCAGACATTAGTAGGCACAGTTTCCAGATTGATGACAAAACACGAACAATGGTCAAGGATTATGTTGCAAGAAAACGCGCAGAGAAAAATTTACCACCTGAAACGTTAGCATCTGATGAAATGCCAGCAGATGAAGATAATGTTGCTGACGATGAAGAAATACGGCAGAAAATCCAAACATTAATTGAAAAGGATGCACCAGATCTAGTTCCCATAGAAGGTTACATTACTATTGGTTAGTGAAAGTCAAAGAATGCTATGATTATATTTTCATGTTTATGAAGTCAATATCATTTTTAATTTTCTAATTGTTGACTGACTTTACTTCCTTTCACAACTTTAAAATGAATTGGAATATTGCTTTGGTTCAAGAAATGCAACACTAAATTGTTTTTCAAATAATTTCATAAGTTACATTGCAGATGGTGAATTGGCAGAGAAAGCTCGGTCCCCAGCATTGGAAAAAGGAAAAGTAAGCAATTAAATCAATGGAATATGCATAAAACATTTACTTTTAATTTCTTTTCATTGATTTTCTATCAGATATATGGTTCCTTAATATTCTATCAATCGAAACTGGGTTGTTACTGAAACCCTATTCTTTAGGATCGAGCACGAGATCGAAGTATTGAAAAACGAAAGGAAAGAAAGGTAGGTAATATTATCCACTTTCAAGGAATACTTTTCTATTTTTGAATAAGCAAAGATTTGCAGTATATAATTTAAATACTGTCTGATAATGAAATCTAATAATTAAAGTAGTACACACATAGAGGTGTGTGTTTTGATAAAATCTGTATAGGCTAAACGCATATTGTCGAGATAACGAAAATACGCATTTTGGCAACGAGTAAGTTCCATATTTTCCATTTTCCTTTATTTTCTCACAGCAACTAATCTCTTTGCTCCCAAACCAAAGAACGGTGTCAAAATCTGAACATAAATCTTAAGCAAAGCTTCAACAGCAACAGTGAATGCATATCACATGTTTGAAAAATGCTATTCTGTCTGCTTGAAGAGCTCCTTGTGTGTGCGTCAATGTTTATTTTCCTTCTCGTGTTAATGTCAAAAATTTCAAATTGCAGATATATTGGAACTTGCAAATAGTTCATTTTCTGTTCAAACAGAAATTGCAAATTCTAACTAAATGTTCTCGCTTTTTTAACACTAACTAGTGGCAAATTATTCTTAATTTGTTCTGATTAAGAATGATTCTGTTTTCTATTTGTTTTCAGCATTTTAATTAACCTTTGTGTTGGTCTTCATCTGAAAATTTCTTGAAAAGTTTGTTCCCAAAATTTAATGGCATACTGTTTTGCTTAAGTCAATTCTTTTTTAGATCACAACTGATAAAAATAAAAATTTTTGTATTTCGTCTATTCTTTGAAATAAGTATGAACAAACTAATTGATTCCGAAACAAAGAAATCTTAAAGCTTGAGATGTAATCAATCTGACTGCCCTTACAAAAGTCTCAGAACTTAGTTATCGATTTTAATCGTAAATGTGGTTATGTTGGTAGCTAATAGCATACTTAATACTACAAGTTTCGGTTCTTTTTTGACGGAAACGACGTTATGCTGACGTATTGCATAATGTTGCTCTGAGATTGATTCTTAAAGTATGCAAATTATGGGTTATGGTGGGAAAGTAGACGTGTTAATAGACAACGACTGCATTCATTGAACAGAAAGAATTTCAGTGAATCATCGTTTCCGGGAAATTTAAAATTTCCTGTGCTATTAATGCCAACGGCATTTGTACTTTGAGTTAAGTAACTCAATTATAAAAAGATGACCAATTATTATTAATTTTCGCTGACTCTCAATGAGATTCAAAACATTTTTCGTTTAGATTCTTACTGTAAATTTAAATATTTAATTCTGCTTTTTTATGAGATCATTCCTATTTTTTAGATTATGTTTTAATTTTGAGCAGTTCAGCTTGTGCTATATTTAATAAGTTCTGAAAGTTTATTTCTAACTTTCGAATAATCAATTTCGCTGCCAAGTGTCGGAATTTATCATTTATCATATATTCAGATAAGATGCAAAATTAGGTGCTTCACTTCCTTTTTTGTAGCTTTTAAAATTTGGTTTACCATTTTAGGCAATAGTCCTTTCTTCATTACAGATCTTCCTGCTTAACCCATTGGATTATCTGAAATGATATCTTCCTGAAAGCCTTGAGTGCTGGCGTCAGTTTTCAAATTTTTTTACTCTGTGACAGATGGCAAAGTACATCGGTGAAAGTTTTTGTCATTTTTTGGTTTAATCGATTAGCTTCTAAATCCAGTCAATAGATTCAGAGTTTGAAGATTGGCATGCATGCACATTTTTGCATTGTAGTTTATTGTCGTACCTTTCTCACATTTTCAATTGTGATATTGTTTGCTTAGCATTTCCATTATAAATTGAGTAACAAAGTACATCGCAGTTGTACATGAATTTAAGGCTTCTTTATCTGTTCGCATGCTTTTCATTTTTTAACAGTGCACAACATCCTAATTTTCGCATTCTAATTTTTTTTTTCTTTTTTGGTATTGTACTGACGCTTGCATGAAATTTCTGGAGCATACCCGTATTCATGTTCTTTTTTCTTTCTTTTTTGAAATGAGAAGAAAAGAATTATAGTGATTTTGCTTATAATATTACAGATTTGTACAACTTCGCAGCAAAAAAATTGTCGCGCTGGTAAGTGTAAATGTTGCTGTTTTAAGTAACTCTATCTTGCCTGTTGAAAAAAAAATCACATTTTGATTAAGTTTAGTTATTTGTACGTTACATTAATATGTTGCATTTGCTTAAAGAGATCGATGAATTGATAGCTTTTCTAATTTAATCGTACTATTCAAATTAACATGGTCTAATTAATTTTGCCAGTATACTGAAATGTCTCTGGAAACAGTCATTTTCGAGTTGGTCTATTCTAGTGTGCAGAAGGATATCAGAATTTTAAAATTTCTGTCACCAATCTAAAATCTGTTTGCTGTGCAGATGAAAGGAAAATTGCTAGCTACACTGATAGATTTGGTTCATTCAGTTTGGCTCATGCATAGCTATTTCAGCGATATTTTCATAATTTAAAGGAAAAGAAATATTGATTGTATCTTCAGTTTGAAAAAAAGCGGAGCTTTGTAAAGAGAATGATCTAATAATACTTCCTTATTTGCTCAGTAAATATTTTTTTAGAACGGTATCAGTGTTTTTCTATTATAATGACTAGTCACTTTGGAGTGCATGATAATTCATAATAATTGTTAGATTTGTTAGTGACATTTTTCCTCTATGCTGTCCTTGCAATGATGGGTTGAATGGAATTTCTTGTTTCACTTTAACATTCTGTTAGTGTCATCACTCTTCACCGCAAACAGTAGCACCATTCAGTAGCAGTAGCACCCACAATAGTTCACTGTCAGCAGTAGTCTTCACGTCAGCAGGACCTAACGAAGAAATTTAGATGAAATTTTTATTTTGCCATTCATTCATTTATCAAAAAAGTATGAACAGTGCGGGCTTATAAATCTTTCTGTTTTCGTTCCTGGCCGACTTAAGGTAATCTGTTTTTGTTCAAAAACTGCATAGTGAAGATTTCTTTAGTTATCTCTAACCAGTTCATATAATAATAATAATAATACAACGATGGTTGCACAATAATAACATTGAATTAGATATACTTCTTACAATTGCGGGCAGAGTACTGCTTGTAAAAGAAATTTGTGATTGGCGGTTTTTAAATGTTGATCAAGAGTGAATTAGTTCCGAATCAATTTTGGATGAGCATCAACTCTACTCCTTACAGTTCGAGAAAACTTTTTTCCCGGTAAATGGTGAATAAACAATTTTTGTGTATTTTTAAGATTAATAACAACATTGTATTATTATTTGCTTGACTGATTCTCTTATGAGGAAACAACTGTAACATTTGGAAAGTGGTTATTATCTAAAAGCTTATGTTCATTCTTAGTTGTATTCGGAAAAGGTAAGTTATAGTCATTACATTGTTGCATGCATCTTTGTCTAGCCGAAGGTATTATGAAACTGAAGACATGTAGCGTAATACGGGTGCTGGACGCGCAAAGATATAAAGTTGCGGAGTAGAGTGCATATCATAAAGTAAATGAATTCATGTTTCCGTGTTTGTTGCAGAATTGATCAAAGTAATAAAATACTTTCAGGACGATGACAAATATAGCGGCCGACATCGAGCACGTTCACGTTCTCATTCAGATAGTCGAAGCAAACATAAATCTCGGAAGAGATCCCGAAGTGATAGCGAACGAAGTGATGTTAAAAAGTATATTTTCTACATTATTTTTTAATTTGAAACAATTTTTGCATTGTTTAATATAAACTTGTTTAATATCAAGCGTGGAGTATTCATATTCCTTGTTCAGCATCTGTACAATTATATCTTCGTTTTCCTTATGAAGATGTAATTTTATACAAATTTTCATATTCTTTATGGAGATATAATTTGTATTAATATAAGTATTAAGTAATAGTGAAAAATAAAAATTAGCTAGTTTTCAGTTGAGTGGAAGCCCTACATCCCTTTTTAATTTTTCGGCATTTTTTTCATTTCTTATCTAAAATTATTATGATGTAAGGAATTTAGGTCGCACTATCGTTCGTCAAGCATAAGCAGTGCATCAAGTCGAAGTAGTAGTTCGTCTTCGGATAGCAGTTTTTCGAACCGTTCCGGAAGTCATACACGGAAAGCATTCAGATCTCAATCACCCAGCAGGCATTTTTGTTTATGTTTGAGCATTGTATTTGTAGATACTGCATCATTCTTCTATGCTGACTGCCTTTTTTCAGGGACCGAGATTCAGAAGACAGTGATGAACAGAAGGAAAGAAGAGCTTTGCGTAAACAGGTTACACTTGTCTTCATATTTCAAATTAAAATTTTTCTTATCAGTCCTTATCACTAATATGCTCATCCAATCTTCTTGAAGTCACAGGAATTTCATAATTGCTCAAACGTAGAGGGAATATTTTTAGATTCGTGAAAAGGAAATAGCTTATGCTGAGAGACTGCGTAAATGGGAAGCTCGTGAAAGAAGGCAGGCGAAATTATATGAGCGGGATGAGCAACGAGAAAAACAACGTAAGCGTGACATGCAAAAAGAAGCAAAAAAATTGAAACATTTCCTAGAAGATTATGATGATGAACGCATGGATCAGAAATATTACAAGTAATTATTTTTATTTTAAGTAGGAATTTTGATTGTGTTTTTTATTTGCCTGAACCAAATGTTTGTTAGTTTACTAAAGATAAACGTTCTCCCAGTGGTATATGTCAAATGCTGCACAAAGTGAGGTTATAGTAAAAATGATAGTGCATTTATTGAGACTTCCCATTTGAATTATCCTTTTGCAATGGCATTTAAGGAAATAACATTCTCAAGCCGATAAAGGTATCTGGATCATTTTAAAACTATTTTAATCATTTATTTAGAAGTTCTTCATTATTTCAACGCCGGCGCGATTTTGAGCGTGAGCGTGAAGCAGATGCTAAAGATCGGCAACGTGAGCAGCAAGAAATTGAGGAGCTTAAGAAACAGATTTTGGCTGAAAATGCGAATGTTGAAAATCCGGATGAAGAAGCTAGGAAGCGACATGAAGAACAGGTTGCTTGATCCCTCCAAGTTTCATTGTCTGTTCATTTTTTCTTATGCAGAAAAAATCGAAATGATTAAATAAATTTAGGAAGAAGCTCTTTTGCGGAAACTACGAGCAGATTCTGGAAGTCCAAACCCACATCGTCCTTTAGGTCAGAAACCGTTGCCATCTGAACCAGAAAAAGATGAGGAGAGTGAAGAATCCGAAAGCGATTCTGAAAGTGATGGAAGTGCTGAGGAGGCTCTTAAATCGGAAAAGCTAGAAAAGCGCAGTAGCTGGAAAGCTGGTAAAAAATGCTTAATATTGGTTTCATCATTTGACATTAAATTTGTGTCTTACTGGAAATAATTTCCGTCTTAGTTTTCCTTTAAAAACAGAGTCAATGAATAAGAAAATTTTCTCAAAGATGTATAAGGTTGTCTTTTACACTACAAAGCAAAGATTTTTGATAATCGATTTAGTAAACTTACTTTACTAGATCATGTATCACAATTTTTCAGTAGCATCCGAAGACACTCCTGTTGCTAATTCACCAATAGTAAGCGTGGCATCACCTTCTGTAATGTCATCATCGCTTGCAAGTCCAGCCGTTGTGCGTACCGATGTTATTACGCCTGCACGACCGTCAACAAGTTCACATCTGAATGGAATATTCGGTTTTGAAGAAAATGATGAAGATGGAGCGTTTCGGAAAAGGAAATTGAAACCATTCGAAATAACTGAAGAGGTAACAGAAATAAAAAGATTGGAAATATAAATTTTCACTCTGTATATTTCGTTGCATATCATTTACCTTACATCTTTACTCATAAACTTATGTTTAGGATCGCATTCAAGCTATGACATCGGAAGAACGTAAACAAATGATCAAGGATTTAATAGATCGCATTCCAACTGCTAAAAATGATTTGTTTGCATTCCCAATCAATTGGAATTATGTCGACAAGTCTCTCGTTGAACAAAGAGTAAATATTATTTTGAAAGTTAAGATCTGTAAAGTTGTGAATTTCTCTAGAATACTTTTCTCTTCTGTGCAACTTGTATAGCCTGCATTCTTTTTTAGGTCAAGCCATGGGTTTCGAAAAAAATAACAGATTATATTGGTGAGGAGGAAGCTTCATTGGTTGATTTTGTTTGTGAAAAAGTGACATCGAAGACCGATCCGCAGAAAATTCTTTCTGACATCGCTATGGTAACGTTTTCAACTATATTTGACTTTCTTTAGGAAAACTTAAGCAGGATCTGTTGCTTATAACCGAAAGTTCTGTAATCATACTATTTAAGCACATGTTCTGTAATCATACTATTTAAGCACATGTTTGTCACTGTTGTATTTTACTTTACTATATTCCTTTTTCAAATGAAAGACTCCAATTATGCTTAGAGGTAGTAGTTATTTTATGCTAATTTTTACAGGTATTGGATGATGAGGCAGAAGTGTTCGTTGTGAAAATGTGGAGATTGTTGATCTATGAATCAGAAGCAAAGAAATTAGGTTTGTCAAGGAAACCATAAGGTATGCGTTCCCCTGCATTGACAGTTTTCGTCGAGTTTGATATTTATTATTGTGGTGCTTTTGTTTTTATTTTGTGCTGCATTCACTATATGTAAATGCAGTAAAACAATTTTTGGAGTTATTTCCAAATTTCTCGAGAATGCTGTTTAAAATAATGGTATGTTTTGTTGATAGTATAAACGTCTTTTCCAAATCACTTTTATTGTACTGATTTCATTATTTTGTATGATGAAAGGTTAGTAGTATTTTTAAGTTAAATTTCAGTGTTTTTCTTATCAATTATGAAAACTGCATGCTTGTACAGCAATAAGTATTGTTTTATGTTTTTAGAGAAAAATAGTCAGTTGGTCTTATGTTTACTCATTTGAATAGTTCGGTTTTGGTAAAGTCATGCTTGATACATTTTATTTCAAGCATCGTTTGCTTTGTAAAGAGTTACCTACTGTTTCTTGTTTTCAGTCATTGTTTCTATGATAAAAGATTGTGAAACAGTTGTTTCCTGCTTACTTGGTTATATCTTTAAAATGAAACATTTAACACTTATGGTTATTTTCAACTTTTTTTTTTCTAAATTTTAGTTATTTTGAAATTACAGAACAATAGGTACTGCATTCTTTCTGATGTGAATTTAAAATGGGAGAATAGGCAGGAGAATCCGATACTTGCTTTTGCATCAACTTAGCACTTCACCCTTTGCATACGGGAAGCCTTGAAAGGATTAAACTTGTAGCAATGAATTTTGCGAATCTTAGCGTTACGGAAAAAATACGGGTTCTTTAAATGGAGCGGAACTATATGAAGCAAAGGATAGGTTTGTCCAATTTGCGGTAACTTCAACCGTTGTGTAAAGAAGCATTGGAACTCGGTTTTAGGTCTTATGTTTAACTTGCACATCTCTTATATTTACATATTCTCCAACACGTTTTTCATAAATATGCGTCTATGTTCTTTCGAACCTTGCGGATTTGGAGAAATCATTATGACGGTTTTTTTTTTTTTTTTTTTTTGGGAGTTTTTCATTGTTGAGGAAGTTTGCCGTCGTTCTTGAACATTTTTGATTGTAGGAAGCAATTATAAAAGCGAGGGAAGATTGTTACTGGGGGAAATGCAGTTTGAAGGGAGTTCAAGAAATATTCCGAAGTTTCTGGTTCGAAATGCTCGCGGGCCAGTTCACAGGGTGATTTTGATTATTTAAATTAATTTAAAAAGTATCATGATGAGTTTTTCGGAACATCGGGATTACAACTCTCCGTTCAAATTTAGGGTCCGAAAAAGATGGAAGATTTAAATTTGCATATGTATTTGGAGTCACCAATGGAGAATATCACACTGCTTGAATTTCAAGAGCTAGCACTTAATAGGCTGAGAGTTTTAAAGGCTGTCGAACAAGTGAAGGATCGTTTTCCACGTGAAACAGAAGCGATAAACAATGAGTTAGCGAAGGTAAGCAGCTATTGGCAGAAATCGTTGTCAGCATTATTTAATTTTTGCTACTTGACTTTTTGTAGTTTATCAATAGTAATTTATTTATAATTTGGCAGCCATTGTGAGAGCATAATGAAATGCTTTTGCAATGTCCAACTACACGGTATTTGAAAATCTTTTAATTAGTGATACTATTTGGTGCAACCGATTATAAATGAATTTTACTTCATCTTAGGGAATCATTTATTATCTTTCAGCAATTGATGAAACTGATGCCAATAGCATGTGGCTGTTGTCCATTGGAGGAACTGGAAAACGCGAGAAGGCGTGATATTATATCTCATTTCATCCTTCGACTTGCATTTTGTCAGACTCCTGAACAGACTAAATGGTTTATCCAGCAAGAAGTGGACTTGTTTAAATTTCGTTTCCAACTTGTGCGTTTTTTACTATTTTTATTGAGAGGAGGAATGCTCAAAACATTGTTTTGGTCTGGAATTAAGCAGACAAAAACTATTCTTTTTTCGATCGAATATTACAGTTTATTTCATTGCGCATATTTAAAAATGCTGTTCAAGGTTTCAAAAAGCTACGATGTTGTAACTCAGTTTCTACAAGCTAACAATTTTGATGCTGAACTGGTGACAGATGCTGAAAAAGAAAATCTGAAAGAAAACCTTTCGAACGCTTGTTTTATACCGATTAGCAAGGTTAGTCTTTTAGATGATTTCATAGAATATTTATTATGACGAGTGTACCGTTTTTATCTTAAAAATTAATGTTGGAATTAAAATCAAACTATCTACTGATATTTGCCGTTCTCTGCATAGTTTCATGATATGAGATGTCATTCATGTCTCAGTAAACATGTCTCTACGTGTTCTCATCCTCATTTCATTTATAATGTCATTTTGTACATATTTGGTTAGATTATTTGTTTTATCAATCTAGGGCCCTTGTACAGTGAAGTTACAGTTGTAATTAACTTTCACTGTAACTTTTCTATGACGGCTTGGACATATACCTTATCAGGTAGTAGTCCCTTATCAAATAAGGTTCCTATTGGTATTATCACTATAAGAATTTTCTTAATGTTCATACATTTTTTTATTTCCTCTGCATGTCAACATACAGATTATATTGTTGATAAAACTTTCTACGTGTTTTAAAAATCAAATTTTCTCTACGTACTTTAAAATCTAGTTTTAAATGTAATATATGCTTGATACTTAGGTTCCTTGTCCGTATCGTCATTACTTTGCTAATGTTTTTTATGAAACTTTTTTATTTTGGACGGTTATGTGGTTTGCAAACAGATGTATAATTAAAGGAAGACTTATTTTTTGTACACTTTATAGAATAGTACAGAATTCTAAATTAGGTTGAACATCACGTTGTTCTTCTTAGTCCAAATCACTATCAGATTTTTTAAAGACGGAATGGACAAGTATCAAATAGCACAGACAAACTATGTTATCAAATTGGAAGATGTTTACAATATTTCAATAAATGCAAATTATTATCATCGTTGTAAAATTAGAACGATTTATTGTCTTATTATTTTAACCGGTTTGAATTTATATTAAAAAATTACATTGTTATTATAAGTTCTACTTTCAAAAAAGTTACTGCTTTTGAAATATTTTCCATGCATCTTTTCAATATATGCCTTATTTTTCAGATTACAGGTACAAATTTTTGGAAGGTTCCTTTTGATGATGCACTTGACCTAGTTCGTAAACGTCGAGTTTTGTTGGTTTTCGGTTATGCCTTTGTTTCTGAAGATGATCTCCAAGTTATATTATGCACAAGACTTCGTCTTAATATCGCTGCTGCTATGGCTGTTAGCATTCATTGTTTGTAAAACTAAGTTTGATTTATGTTGAAGCCATTTTATTGACAGTAATTTATAATCGTGAAGTTTTTTCCAAAATTCTTCAATGCTGAAATTTTAGTTTATAGTTTTATAAAAATGATCATTTCAGTCACTTTTATGTATGTGCTACTGCTTGTCATCTTTCAGCGTGCTTGTAGAAATATCGTATACATTGAGGAGAATGACCGATTAATGCCATTTTTGAAGAAACTATCGAGCAGATCATATGTGGGTAAAAATTACATTGGATTGGATGCTTCCCGTGTTACACCTGATATGGTGGATTCTGTATGTTTCATTTATGTTCAGCATATGGCTTCTAATTCTGTGCAGTCGCTCGTGGATGTTACTTCCTAAAAATATCTTTGTATTTAGATTTTCTCTGATTGAGTTGAATTGTGCTGTACAAAGCATTTATCTATTAAACACCTGTATACACCTGTTTTTTATTATATATAGAAATAGAAACAGAAGATAATTTACATATTAGAATTGCAACTTTGCTGTAATTTCCCAGAACCACTGTTTATACATGTTTTTATTTCTTTTAGCCAATAATCTTAAAAAAAGAAGGAAATTGTAGTTTCAAAGAAGTTTCAGCTTGCTGCATCTTCATTTCCACTTTGTATGAGGAATATACATAATCGATTGAGGGTAGATCATCATTTGCGTCATGGAGCTCGAATGCAGTATGGATTGTTTTTAAAAGCGGTTGGTATGACATTGGAAGATGCACTGAATTTCTGGAGAAGTGAATTCACTAAAAAAATGGATTCAGATAAGGTTGGCCGAGACTAATCTTGTCATTCATTCTTTAAGATATAATAGAGCATCCATTGATACCTTAAAGTGACTTTGGACTTTTACTAACTTTTACTAATTGAAACAAAGTATTCCATTCATTATTATTGGCATTAAAATCGTAGTTGATGTATCTACCAACCAGAATTTGGAGTTCTTTTTACCAAAATTTAGTGGACAAAGATTTTCGGATAGTATGCCTAATTTAAAAGTGTAGAATTATTTATGAGATACAGTGGGTATGTTTGGACGATTTATTCCTTGATTTCTAGTTTGATAAGCAATATGCATACAATATTCGTCATAATTATGGTAAAGAAGGAAAGCATGCGGATTATTCGGCGTATCCTTGTGCAAAGATAATTTTGGATTTCAGTCCTTCTTCTGCAGACTGCCATGGTAATTTGATATTAATTTTAATATCTTTCTACTTCAAAATAATCCTTATTAGCTAACGGTGTATTCCCTTTCATTCAGACCATTCAACACTATTCTCTTTTAATACCTAATTTAATTTTCTGTTCATCGTATTTTTACCTCGATTTTAAATTATGTCACCAAATGAACGCTGATTGATTCTGACGCATCTGGAATATATTTACCTAATGTGTTCAGGTTGCCCTTATCGACATAGTGATTTGCGGTTACTCACCCAAAATTTGGAAAGTTCGGGTCTTTCCAAGTCTCAAATTGAGCATGTAAGTTTGTTTTATTTCTCAAAAATAACTGGAAATTTTTAGAAAGAATTAAATAGACTCGACTGAAGAAAATTTGTTGACAAAGCTCAGAGAGATTAAAATATTCATATGTAATTCGCTTTAGGCTTGAAAAACAATTTAATAGGGAGATTGACCTCACAGACTTTGATTGCCTTTGTCAAATCAAATCTAAGAGTTCTCTTCACCTCTTCTGCAAATAGATTTTGTGGTCTCGTTTCACGTTTCCCATTCAGAATGTTTACTTCTTTTCATTCTGTCGTTGTTGCTGTCTGCTTTATCAACTCTAGTTTTTTTCTCTTATCTCTGATTGAAAGCTCAGCAAATTTATTAGCTGTAAAAGAACATGGTACGAGTTTTTCAATCAAGTAGTCAAGAGAGGAATCAATGCCGCTTTAATTTTTAGCTTTCTATGCGTCATATGAAATTTGATCTTATACAGTCAACAGATTAAGTAGCGAAAATTAGTAAACAAAAAGACCATAACTTTCGAAACAAAATTCTTTTCACGAAATACCATTTCTGTGTTCAGTATTTTCATTCATTGTCTTTATAGTGCAACTTATACCGCTTTATTTATTCTCATCTGTCCAACCCGATATATAAGTACATGAGGAGTTGATAGGAGAGATGTTCAGGAAGGGACACTGATAATGATGACTTTAATTTACATTTTTCAGATTACTTTGTTGTCAAAAAATAAGCAGTATGATAAGGCTTGCACGCGATATTTCGAATTTACCCATAAAATGGCTGAGAATTCTTTGGGTACTGTGATAACTCATCCTAATCAATATTTTGAATTGTCGCGGCAGGTGCACGATGGAAAACGGAGCAGGTCTTTACTGATAACGTTTTAAGAATTCAATCATTCTTAACCATTTCCTCAATTTTTTGAAACTGTTCTAACATATTTGAGTCATTAACATTACTCGAAGAAACCTCTATATTTTACAAATCCCATACGATTCCTGATCACTGATTAGTTCCAGGGAGGAGGAACCGAAACATGAGGTCATGCTGGGCGCACTGCAGGGAGAAACAACGCAACATGGAATGGACATCGACATTGAAGATCTGATCAAAATGGAGACTTCCGTAATTAATGAACGACACCACTACACTTGACTCCAATTTATTTTCTTTTGCTGTGTTGGTTTCTTCTACTTCTTTTATGTGCTGTTATAAATTATACCTCTTCAATGAATTCTTTTGAAACACTATAATGCTAGTAAACTTAGGCGTTTAGTTGTCATAATTATAAAGTAAAATAATGACAACATAAATCTATCAATACATAAATTGCTTTACAATGGGTAACAATTCAGAAAAACCTAATGAATGTATTCCATAATTTTCAGATTTCCATTTTCAGGTTTTCAGACATGAAATCAGTAAATATCAAGCAGTCTTCACAAGCCTAAGCCAAATATAACACATAGCAATATAATATATACTATAACATATGCTTCTTAATATGTCAATTGTTAGAAATGGAATATAAAAAACAATATATAACAAAGTATAACATAAAATCCGAAACTTTATACTGTACAATTTATTACTTTACTAGCTGAATGTCAACAAATAAAGAAAAACAAGCTCCAAGCTCCGACCAATGTTTAACATTAGAACATTAGAACAGTAATTAACGCAATAATTTAAGTAAAGAATGGCAACATTCTGGTCGTTCATATAACCAGATTTTGTTTAAAAACAAATAAACAGCTCGCAAATTCAAAAGATAACTGATCTGAGACACAACTGAAGTGGATCACGTGGGAAACATAAAAGTAGGACAACACTGATTCCTAATCCAGAACTGCCTAGAAAGCAAAATGGAGAGAGTCAATAATAGGAAATGCGAACTGTATCTTATGATCAGCTATCGAAGTTCTTTCAGCCATTCCAAAAAAATTAGGTCCATGTTAATCAAGAGGTTCAAAAACTGGTATCGTGCCGGAAACCTGTATTGTCTGTTTATATTTCATTACTGACTGTATTACGTCACTTTCACGAATCATTCGCGTCGTTTCATTATTTCTGAAATAGAACTTATAAGAAATAAAAGTGACACTTTACGCATCAAATGTCCGAAAGTTGAACACGTATAAAAACCGAAACGTACAAATCCTTTCCTTTGATAAATGCATCCTTAACTCGCGATAAAACAGCCAATCGACACACTTCCTTCAAGTCAGATCCGCTTAATTCATTAGCGTATTCTGCTATCCTTTCAAAGTTGATATCCGGCATAACCGGTTGGTCCCTTAGTAAAACCTTTAAGATATCTGCGCGAGATTCTAAACTCTGGAATTAGTGAAAATCAGTATAAAAACCATACCATTTATATAGTCTTACAGATATATCTAGTATTTTGCAGATGAAAAAGCATAAAGACATGGAAAATTCTACTTTAAGCATAGTTTCTAAATTTGAGGCAAAGCTTACTGGTAGAGGGACATAGAATCGTGCAGGCATTCGTCGTAAGATTGCACTATCAACATCGTTTGGTCTATTAGTTGCTCCGAGTACGACGATTGCATCGTCTGAAAGAATTTAAAGCAGTTTAAAAAAGCGATAACCACATATTTTGAATCTCTTGAACTTGAATACGTGCATTAAAGATACGGTATATATATGTCGTATAAACTACGTGCTCACCTGATGAAGCAAAACCATCCCATAAGCACATGAACTGCGCCTTCATCATGGCAGTGGCTTCGTGATCTTGGGTATTTCGATCTCTCAAAAATGAATCTGAAATAATGGAAAATGTAAAAGTGGCCCAGTGTGTAAAAACAATTTTCCAAAATGATGAAAAAATTTATCACTGCTATGCTCACCTATCTCATCAATAAATATGATCGTGGGTTGGAACTTCTGTGCCTGAAAAGGTTGGTTAGATTTACTAAGGGAAATAGTTAAAAAACCTGTGCAATTCTGTTTTTCTATTCATTAATAAAAAAATGGTATTATATAGGCTCATATTTTCAGTATTTTTCCAACCTGTAATAAACATTTTTAAAACACGTTTTAACCAAAACTTCGAGTGACTTATCATTTTACATACTTATGAAACATATACCACAGAGAAAACTGCATCAGCAAGTTTCTGTGATTCACCATACCACTTATCGCACAATGACGACACTTGCAAATTAATGAAACGAGCATTCGCTGCACGTGCGATAACTTTTGCAAGTAAAGTTTTACCACAACCTGGTGGACCGTATAAAAGCACTCCTGAAGTACTGCTTAAGAGTGTGTTCATCGGAATTTGCAAAAATCTTTAAAGCATAAAAACTATTAAGTTATGAAATATATATTCGAAAACATATGATTCCGACCAACGAAATAACCAATTACTTTCCTTTCAATCTCTCAATAATGCATTGTTTGAGAATGGCATTAAGTGAATTACCTTTAGGTGGAGAAAGAAGATTCGACGACAATGCGAGTTTCTTGTAAATATTGCGAATTTTTAATGGGATAATTATCCGATCATTAATTTCCTCAATAACTGCGCCACAACCACCAATATCGCACCAATCTGCACCCTAAATCCGATTATATATATATATTGGAGTGCAAGATATAACCATCGAAGCCAACGGAGAAAATTTTCAGACCTTCGGAAAAATTTCACAGCTTAGTATAGCAATACCTGATTATATTCTTCCTAAACTATCTCTTCATCTTTGGATCACACCATTTACGAATGCAACTACTGTTTACTTTGAATAAAACTCAAATGGGAAAGCACAAGTTAAATGAGAAACTTAAAGCAACTAACCTGACCGCAGTGGACGAATTGTGTAGCTATACGTAATTCGTATTCGTTAAGCTCGATTGATGGATCTAAGCCTAATGTTTTGATTACTTGAGCAGCCTGCAATCCAGTTACAAAAATGAACAACCTAAAAACCAATCTCGATCTTTGGATGAATTCCTTAGTTGAATAAGCTAACCTTCTTTTTAGCATTTTTATTGATGGAATGGTTTGGATCAATATATCTGACTGCAAGTTTCATGATAACGATTGATGCGACTGTGGCAACAGCAACACGAATGCAAAAGTTAAGTGCTTGATCCATCGACAATGACATTTTTCCCACTTTTCCCTTACTTTCGCTATTATCCTATATATATATATTTTATAATTATATATATATATATATATGATTTTGTAATTCGACAACTCCTACCACACATTCAATTCTGGGAATGTTAAATTTTTATAAGCAAAGTGATTAACAATTTGTCTTTAGAAGAAAAGACATACTATAGTTTGTCCAGTAATGCTGAGAAGCTAGTACAGCACCATGCCATGTTTTGTACGGTAACACAGTAGAGCCCTAGCAGCCGGTTGTTTAAGAATCTGCTCTATCGCACCTTTTCCCTCTTGGGTACTTCACTCGTGTGATCTCCCCTACAACCCAAAATTACCAGGTCAAACACACTATAGCCACAACCTCAGTAATAGTGTGCAACAACGATAGACCATATGTGCTATTAATATAGTGCCACTCTGCCCCAAGCTGTCTCTATTCCAGAAAACCCCAAAAATCCGAACTAACCACACTCCCATGCTGTCCCTGCAAACGAGCGAGCCCCTATTCCTGTTAGACCTTACATATTTTTAAAATTTAGCTGGAGCCCACCCGTAATTAATAGAATCCATCAATTACTTTTGTACAAGTGCACTCATTACTTCAAGTAACGCAAGTGTTCCAGTTCATCCTTTGTGTAGTGCTACAACATTTTTGTGTGATGAATCTATGGATTTATGAATTAAAGTCGTGATAAAGCATCAAAAATGTAAACTATGTAAAATAAATAATGCAAGTGTGCCAAAAATTGAATCAGAAGGTTTTATACGTCTGATCCGAAACATAAAAGTTGAAAGGTCTAGGTGCTGCATGAGGAACAATCAGATGACACCGTGCGAGAAGCTTGTAGCTAGCACCCCTATATACAAGAATTAGATAAAAAAAAACAGAAGAGATACAATTCTATAATCCAAAAATCTTATCAGCGAGCCTTCAATTATTTCAAGTTAGCTTTGTAGCCTCAGAAACTAACACGGAAGCTGGAGACAACTGATGCAAAAAACAACACCGCCTTTTGCAAAAGGAGAAGCGTTCCACGACCGTACATTGCAGAAGCTCACTAAAACGCCTTGTATTTTCAAATATCTACGTATAACTAAAAAATGTGATAGATTACTTCTAACACTTTTAACTTTTACATGAAAGATGACAGTTGAATTTAGCTTTATATACAAAAGCGAACTCATACGCTTTCACCTAACATAGCAAGAATCCAATGGAAGAATAAAAACATGTTTCCCAATATTGGCAGAAAGCAGCATTAAAAGATGAGATCAAGTCAGGGGATTAGAAACAGTTACACGTTTGAAATCAACAAGCAGGCAAAGGATGAGGTCCGTCAGCTACAGAGGGTCGTCGATAACCAGCACTGAAATCTTGCCGATAAGATACTCGTCGCCCTGTTGGCGTATTTGGTCTTTCCTTTACATCCAGGCCACTACCCTGGCTTTTCCCCAGTAATGATACGGGCGTTGAGCTGTAGAGACGATTCGATGGAAGCATATCCAGTGAAGCACATGGACTGTTTGATTTAGCGTGCATTCTAAATTCTATTTGATAAGCTCCTTAATTTTCTTTTTTCTATATAAAGATAATGTGAGAAAAGGAATTAAGGCTACCACAATGGTAGGTTTGAAATAGAATTATTCTTTTCTAGAACTTACCCATTAGCTCTTGGCACGAATGCAGGAGCATTGGTGGAAAATTTTGTTTTGATTACACCATCTGATGCTGAAAATTTGGGAAATTATACGAAATTATTTAACAATTACAAAAAATTCTTGCACATTCTTTCGCTATCACCAATTACTATGATAAAATGAAAACGAACTTTCCTGGTGAATGAATCGACACTTATTTCCATAAGGACAGTGGCCATTTTTGAAGTTTATGCAAGGCTTAGTGCGATAATTATTCAGTAATGGACCTGACCTATTCCGACATATGTGCTCACTCCGATTCTGTAAGTATCAAGAAATTCAAAAGTCCACAGTTTGCGAGCCAAGAAATGCCAGCTTAAGAGGCAATAAAAAAACTTTCCGAGAGGAAATTGACATATAAGAACTCAAACCAAGCAAATTAGTATGAAGAGATATTATTGTAAACTTTTCTTTTAAAAAATCAAAAAATTACCCCACTTTCCCGTTGGAAATTCCTAAAGTCATCATTCCCAGAAAACTTAAGTGATGATTGATTAGCACCTGCAATACAAATCGGTAAGGATGCAAACTCTGGTATGAGTTTGCTACAAAAAACGTTTAATGATTTAAGTTTAAAGCGTTGAGTGCAATATCTCTGTGAAATTCTCAGTGAAATAGAAGTTTCGGTAATTAATGGAATACAACTTTTGATAATTCGTGTAGTAAAAAAAAAAAATCCAAATTACTGAATTCTTGTCTCCTAAACCTCATGAAATATTTTTGTGATAGCAACATTAGCTTGTATAATTAGCGAAGTGAACTATTATTACCTGTTGATAAAATGTTGTCCTTTATCGGTGTTATCCTCACAGTTGAACTTTGCGATGTAGCATTAGTTGTTGGCCAACTCTGGTACGGTGCAGAAGCAAATGAAGATGGTAATGATTGCAAGAGTGATGATTTTGGATACGTTGATGGTAGAGATGGCGGTGGTAGTAGTGGCAATTGATTACCAGGTATGGAAGTATCTGGGAATGGTGGTAAGACAAAAAGAACGGGGCTAGGACGTATATAAGGACTGAGGAGTTGAAAAGGATGCACTGGAGGTGGAAAAGGAATAGGAAACGGTGGTGGCGGATAAAATACGGCACTAGGTGACAGTTCCGGTGCCGCTTCTGCAAATTATTATTTGAACATACTGAGAGAGAAATAACACTTGAGAGAAAGGTTACCAAGCCATCAATTATAGTGAAACGTATACGATATTAAGAAAAACTTAAAGAACGGCTCATTTGAGCTTTACACTTGAGCAATACTGGGGGATATACGTACGTGTGCAAATAACTATATATAAAGTTGTGTCAATAAAATTTTCAAAAAAAAAAAAAAAACAAACCGACCCATGCAAAACAAAAGTCTTAAGATCTTATGACACATCAGAAATAATGCCACCAGTCATTTAAAGATGAAATTAATAGTTTTGAAAAAACATGCCTTGCATCGTTCCAGCATTATCACTCACTGGACCCTCTCTTGAAGTACTTTCAAGCGACGGTGGAATATTCGATTGCTCGCAAAACATTGGCTGTGACAAACCGCTGGGGAAGATATATGGCGATTGAAAATATACAGTTCCTTGAGGTGCTGGTATTACAGGTAATGGTGTAGGTAAAAACGATACAGATTGTGGTAGTAGTGATGGAATTTCCGACAGTTGATAGCCCATTATAGGATCGCCCGGTGCTGAATGTGGAAACACCGCTGCCATCTTCGTTATCGTAAACCTAAAATCATAAGATAACGCTGGAAAGCAAGAACGGTGCGCCTTCACTTCGTTATTAAAAAATATTTAATTTTTCCGAGGGAATACCATCTTCATCCCAACATTACTTAAGCAACTGATGAAAAATGTTGGAGGTTGGTCAAAACATGATAAATGCGCCTATTTATTAACAGTTTTGATCAACAAGATTTATCTACCAGTATTTTGATAATCTACTGCGTCATCTGATCCATATAAGTTAAAGGCAGAAACCCTATACTAAATTATTTCAGTAGATAAGATAATATGTCCAATCTTACAAGTACATAGCTTTTTGTGTGAAGACGCAATTAAGTGTATTAATATTGCACGAAAAATAGGAGCGATTTCCTCTTACGTTAATAGAAAAACAAAGCTACCATTCTATCGTTACACTACTTCTAATCTTCTCGACACTTTCTTTCCTTTTTTTTTTCTTTTCTTTTTCTTTCTTTTCTTCCCTTGTTCTGTGCTTATATATTGTTTTTCTTTCCTTATACGATATTTCAAATAAATCTGAGTATTTATGTTCAATTGCATACCCCAGCATTTTGAATGGGATTAAAATCACGTTAACTATTACGACTAAAGCTGTAAAAAAAAAAAAAAAAAAAAAAGACATCAGTTATGAATCTAATCTATCGTCCAACGTCACTGTCAATATCAATTATATAGAAATAAACCCAAAATTCATGATATCACTGAGTCAAGATAAAGTTTTGCAAGTTTTTACTAGAAAATACCGTCAAGACATTCATCTAATCACGTAAGTAACGTAGTGTAATCGTTAGAAATATAATTAACAGATGAATCGTTTCTTGACAGGAAATAATCTAATAAAATACAAATTTTGTTGATTGGTCAGTAAGACTTCTAACATCCGACCTCATACAACAAAACAAATCCATGGCATAAGAATTTGAGAGAAGAGGAATAATTTATATGTGCATTTCACGCTACAATTACAACATTTTTAATTATTTAAACAAAAATATAAAACATAAGATATGATCAAATATATATCAACTGTATTTTCAAATCATTGTAGTTGATAGCGCAGTTTCTTCTCAACTTGAATTAACAAATACAGTTAATTTAAAACTGGTGTCATTAAGCAAAAATCAATTTAAGTTTAGATCAAAAAGCAGAATCCATTTCAAATGAAATTATCAGCAAACATTCTTATTATCATCTATCGTCTGATGAAGGCAGAGTCAAACAGGAGCGTGTTACGCAACATGCATCTGCATAAGGCGCAAAAAAAGGCAGTTTTAAATTTTATTTATAATTTTCAAAAGGTTACTAATGAAGTTAAATAAAATGAAAAAGGAAAAAAATAATTTGGAGGAAAAAACAAGGCAAGGGGACATTTCAGCATGGAACAGCTTTTATACATACGTTATGCTCACTTAATTTTACGTGTAAAATATTGTTGTTTAGCCATATCTCCGCTGTTATTAAATTAAACAGTATTTAGCTATGAAAGCCTAAGAACCTTCCTTATATAACTTGCACCACTGTTCAAACATTGGTTTTGACGCCAATTTGAGTATTTCGGTATTTCACAGTAGACGGGTCCGTTGCACGGTATTTCACAATACTAACGCAGTACATCATGTGGACTGCAAGTGACCTGATCGGAAGGGCATGAGTGAAGAGGGCAGTGTGGTAGAATCACGGTAGGGTGCAACTCTCATTTTGGTCCTGTGAACATTTCACCTTTGGTTGAGATCGACATATTTTGCCCGATCTGATTTGAATTCTGTCACTCTTTTGATGTCTTTTTTTTTTTTTAATTCAACTGGTATTTATAGAAATGTTTATTTCTGCTTTTCGAAGGATCACTGAACTTGAGCTAATACCCGAAGACTTGTTCTACGTCACTGTTAATGGAAAGATTGTTGACTGGAAGAGTTTGGATAATGACGCTCATTTTCAAGTGCATTTCAGACTTCGCGGAGGTAAAGGAGGTGAGTTCCTCATTTTATGTTTTATAGTTATTACAGCTGGAAAACCCTGCAGTGCACTTATTTACGCTGGTTTTCAGAGTTTTAATGTTTATTGTTAGATATAAGCTGACTAGATAAGCCTCAGATGAAGGAATACGAGTGACCCAACATAAAATAGAGTTATGTTTTTAATTTATCACTTCTCTGTTAGTCCTACTATTTTAACGTGTATTTGGGATTGTTTTTTAACCTATATTATTTTTGCATTGGGATTATTTTCTGCTCTCATTAAATTTGTACTCTGCAGGTTTTGGTTCGCTGCTTCGCTCATTTCGTATTCACCGTTCAACGAATCAGTTGATGTGCCGCGACTTGTCTGGACGACGGCTTGCTGACATTAAAGAAGAAGAGAAACTTCGCAAATGGATTGAAAAAGCAGACGAGAGGGAAGAAGAGAAACGTCGGCAAAGGTATTTTTCGGTTTTGGATAGCTAGCCTTTTATCTTTTGCTATTTTACGTTTGTCTACAAGTTTCGGGCACGAAGTTTATATTTCCGTTTTAATTAGAGTACTTTTAGACAAGAGAAATATGAGAAATTAAAAGCAGGTCCTAAAAAACATGATTTCAATGATCCTGACTTTATCCAGACACGAGAAAAAATCATGGAAGAAACAGATGAAGCGTTTGAACAGGGTAACTTTTTGATCCTTTTAATTAGATTTACCAACCTTCTCAGAATCGTCCGAAGAGACAGCGTTACTGGTTTAGTGGAATTTTGAACCGGAAGGTTTGTTTTCAAAAATTTTTAAAACCTTATTCATGGCTGATAAAAGTTTATTATGAGTCGCTGGAAAGGCCGTCGTCCGACTTCATTTACATCTTATTTATTTATTTTTTCCAAATGTTTTGTTTATTAAGTAGAAATGCTCTTTGTTTTCAAAAACATTTTGCTTAGGCATCGCTATTGCTAAAAGTAGGAGGACTGATGAGGAATGCTTACTGAAGTCGAAACAGAAGATGAAAGTGGATCAAGGAGATGATTTAGGAGAAGGAAATGTGCCGTCGAAACGCAGAAGAATGACAACGAATGAAGTGTCTGAATATGTGATATCTACTTTAGATGATGAAAAGTAATTTTTTTTATTTCTACGGTCAAATTCAAAGTAATTGATTTTTTCATCATTAATTTGAGAGCTAACTGACTATTACAACAAATGATGCATCTAATTTTATGTTCAAGAAATATTTTTCTATATGAAATAAGAGAATGCAATTTCACTTCGTTAACTTGACAATAATTGTTAGAAGATTATGCATTTTAGTATATCCATCTGATAAAAATAGTTCCGATTTCAGCAAAAATAAAGTCGATGTTACTGATGGAAGAAAAATATATGTTGAAAATGAGGAAGAAAGAGCATCTCCAAGGATAGCAGGTACTCTGAATTGCTATAAATATTGGTTCTTATAATGTCATGATTCTGGAAATGGCTGCTTTTCAATTTCTGACTTAAAAAAGTTGAGAGGTGTATTTGCAGATATGTTAATTGCCGAAAAGTCAAATGCCACCGTGGAGAAGGCATGTAATGAAACAATGAATTTCGATATCAAACTGGATGACTATGACGATGCAAAAAAACTGGAGTCTTTGGGGCTAGACTTTTTAAAGCATGCTCTTAAAGGTTTTTTTCTAGAAGATTGTTCTATTTTCAAACTTTATTTTCAGTTTAGTGTTATTTCTAAATATCATTTTGACCTAATATCCTACATTTCTCCATTTAGTGCGTGGTTTGAAATGTGGTGGTTCATTACATGAGCGAGCAGTTCGTCTTTATTCGGTCAAAAACTTAAAACCAGAGCAGTACCCAAAAAATATCCTTGCACGTGGCAAGAAGGAATAGCGAAACTATTTGTGTATTTTTTATATACTTTTTGACATACATTGTACAGTAATTAACAGTATTCATTGCAGTTTTTAATGGATGATAAATGATGTATTAATATGCATATAATCTTTTTTTTAATGCATAATTTGTTCAAGCATTTTCGTTTAATTTGTATGCTTCTGTTTTAGATGATAAGCTTTTAAAGGAACTTCCTTTAGAAACTTTGTAATTCCTGTTTTTTGATTTTCTTATCTCGGTTTTTTGACCATGAAATTCAGGATATGGATTTGAGATGCTAATGTCTGTTGATTGTATATTTAACAATGATTATAAAGTTTATAAAGCCTAATTTTAAACCGATTTCTAATTCTTATGAGTTCCCATTAAAGTAATTTTCGTGATGTGCAGATATATTTTTCTGAATGTTCGGTCACATTGTTTAGGGTTGGGATATTTACGTAATTATGATTTTAGATAAAGGGGAAGTAAAAATGAGGGATCTTAAATTTCAATGGTTTTAATTGTTTTTGATTTCAGAATGAAGCACCTACTTATCGGTGAAGATTTATTTGATCAGGTATGTAAATTTGTTTTGTGAATTGCTCTACTTTTCTGTTATAAATATGGAAAACAAGTATTCCTCTGCAGTGATAAATTTGATTTCGATCTCCTATAGGATTTGGAAGTGAATGTTTCATCCGATGATGGAAAGGACATTCCAATTAATAAGAATGATGAGGCTGAAGTGTCAGCCGTCTTGACTCAGGTTGAGCAGAAGGTATATATATATATATATTGCTTTATATTGTTTGGAGAACTTTATTAATTGAAATGTTTCTTGATGTTAATGATGCATTTTGGGGAAGGTTTCTATAAAGTAATAAGGACTTTTAGATAGAAAAAGGAAATTCTTTTGTTTGACGAGGCGCTTCTGAGTTTATTAGAATCTTCTACAAGCTCCCTAGCCTTAAATTTAATGGAAAGTGTTTCAGCATGTTAATGATATAGAGAATGATATTACAGGTTAGGGAAGCCGTGAATGTTCTAATAAAAGTCACTGAAAAGAATGGAAAGAAAATGTTGTTTCCTGAAGTTGATAAGTTGCTCCATGTTCAGTTTGTCTATAAAAAACCGAGCACCATACACACTAGACATCGTGTCAAACGCTTGTGAGTTATCGATTGTTGTTATTCACTAGGCAATACGGGATATTTGTCTCATCTTTAAAAAGAAATCTCTGTGAGATCAATTTCGGTAAATTTTTTTAGTTGGTTGATGGAAAGTTGCAGATAAGCTTAGCTTTTTTTTTTTGGAGATTTTCTTGAAAAAAAAAAAAAAAAAAACGTAGTTCAAACATGGTTGTTTTTCTGGTTAAACTTGATTTTCATAATTAAATTTGATTGATCATAATTTAACTTGATTTGAAAAATGAGTAAACAATATACATTTTTACCGATATACGTATATCATAACTTTGATTCTCCCTATTAGGCTAGAAATTTTTTGACATCAAACTGTTAATGATCCAAACACCATGGCACATAGATCCATGTAGACATGATATATATAAGTCATAGCATTACGATGATTGAATAAGTGGATTGTGAATGAGTGGATTGTATTCTTCACGAAAAGGAAGCTAAATTACTTTCATAGTTCTTTATTTTTGTGACAGTTAACTTTGTCGCGTTTATTAAATGAATACGATGACTACAATTTTTCATTTTTCTGCAGCGTTTTACCGCACCCATTACATGAAAAGGGCAATACTACTATCTGCTTGATTATGCGAGACTTAGACCAATCCGCAAAGGCAAAATTTGACCCTGATGTTGACAAGCAATCAAGAATTTGGGCCGAAAGGTTGGAGCTTGAATCCGGAATTACTAAAGAGCACGTGCAAAAGGTATTTTTTGATTTTTGAATAGTAGTACGATTCATTCGTTGGAATCACAGAAATATTGACATGTTGTAAGGAGTGCAGTTTCTAGTACAAATTAAATCTGTGTCTTAACGAATTTCTTCCCAAGAAATAGATGGCTCTGTCATGGTGGTGTTTGATTTGTAGTGGCATTTGTATTATGGCAATCCTTTTTAACAGTTAGCTGGAAGCAAATAATATTTGAGATTTTGACAAAGCGACAGCTGGAGAGAGAGTATCATTCGTATTATGATAGACGTCAGCTGGCATCTGCTTATGATATCTTTTTGGTGGACGTTTTAGTCGAGAAAAGCGTCATACGTTTTTGTGGCAAAGAGTTCCACAAAGCAAAAAAGTAAGGTTTTTAAGGGACCTTCTCTCCTCTTTTAGTTATCCAAATTCATGTTTAGCATACCTTCATTTAGTTAGTATTAGATATGAATCTCTTTTCACAGTTTTAATCACAAATTTTTTTATCTCATATATTACCATAAAAATCCTTGAGTTTTTATATCTGTGGAATTTTTACTTACATCTTTGTAATTCGTACTGTGAAAATTATATTTCCTTAATATAAAGTTTTTTCAATACAGACTAATTGTTTTGCAGAACTCCTTTGAGATTGTCAGTGAACCGACCTAGATCATTGATAAAAGAAATCGAAAAGGCTTATTACACCGTAACATTCCCGCTTTTCCCATTTCGTACACGAACGTATGGTTTTATTTCACGGTTGTATTATTTTCTAAAGTGGCATAGAGTCATTAAAATTTAATTGATATATCAAATTTTTTTTATTAATTATTAAACATCGGGCTTTGGAGTGTTTCATCGACTTCATTGCTGTCAAGATTATATCTTAACGATAGAAAATCGATCTCGAAATCCCTAGTTAATTCAAAAGTTTCGTGAGGTTTTGTTCCAGGAGTCTCCGCATTGGAAATCTCAATAATCCTATCGATCATATTGTAGAAAATGTACGTGCAGCAGTTGAAAATGTATTTCAGTACTGCCCCGGAGGTTTATGCAATATTCATTCAGTAAGTCTACAAATGGTGACAGGCGGTCCGTCATTACCTCTCTATGTTGATGCAGGTTTGTTTTTGAGTGATTTATTATTTTCCCGTTTTCTGATCAGTGCCACTTACTTTTGTGAATTAGGTTGGCATTTAAAAATTTTTTGAAATTTAAGATGTTTGTTAATTTTGCAATCTTTAACATTTCCATTGAGCTACATCATATTAACTGTTTCTATATAATTTTATTGTTGGTTTGAAAATTTCTCAAGTCTCATCATGAATTCACTGTTTTAGGATCTAGAAATGCAGTCAATTTACCCATGCCCATGAAGAGAAAGGACCTTATGGCGAAAAGAGACGAAGAAGCTGTTGCTGATGAGCTGTCGACTTTACCAGAAGGCTTAGAAGTTTTAGTGTACCGAGATGGTGAAGTAAAAGTTCTGGATTCAGACAGTTAGTTTATCCAGTTTTAAATGACCATAGAAATAAAGGGAATGTGAGAAGTTATTTGGTCTTTTCTAGACTGAAAATTAGGTTTTTCAGATTAGATTTTCAGTGAGACTAGGTTTTTCCTAATTCTACTTTTTTATCAATGATTCAAGTGCATTTGTTGACTAAAATTTTGCAAAAGCTATGAAATATGGAAGGTACGCAAGAAAATACGCAAGCTATAAAAATTTTTTTGCAGCTAAGAAGCCTGTGCTATATCCAACCGCTAATGATGAGTGGGAGGCAGGAGATGATCTGAAGCCGTTAACTAACTCCGATAAGGTTAGTCTTTTTTAGTTTTTCACCATCGAGTAAGCTTCTTGTTTATCTTCAGTGATAAAATTATCCTGTGCTGTGTTTCAGCTACGGAAATCACTGGAAAAACTCAGCAAACTGCGAGAAAAAAGGAAGAAAGCACGGGAAGCTAAGAAACGACTTCTGTTGCCACCAAAAGATGGGGTTTCCAAAATAAAAGGTTTAGTGAAAAAAAAGAATAATAAACAAAATGAAGTCGACAGATTCGGAAGCAAAAAGCAGAAGCCAAAGAGTCAAGTGGAGATAAACAAAAAATCACATTTATGTCGAAATGCTAAAGTGAAAAAGGAAATAAACCAGTAGGGAATCTAAAGTTAGATGAAATATTGGACTGCGTGAGATGGAGACGATTTGAAACACTCAGTGAAATAATTTCAAATGCTTTTTTTTTGTTTGTTTGTTTGTTTTATGAGTTTCTCATATCACTCAACTAATTAATAAAGTTGCCTTGATGGTGGATTTGATTTGAGCCAAAACAATGGAAAGAAGATAGCACGCCGGAAAACTTTCATATTTTTTGTTCAGGCAGTCAGTCGGGAAAGATTTTTTCAAATGTTAAGCTTTTAGTTTTAGAGGTTGAAAATTCTCAGGAAATCCTGGAATTGATGGTAACAAACTGACTGATAGTTACGAATATAATCAATAGTTCAAAAGAGTTTAGCGTTAGTTCGCACTCTTCATGAAATATTTATGTAGTCCTTGAAATTCATTTCGTAGATCTTATAGAAGCATTAATGTGGGATTCATCAATAATATTAATGGAGAGATTTTAAAGCTTTAGGAACTAAAATTGGCATGCCTTTTTATAAGCGAAATTATATTTGTTTGCAAAATATATCGTCACAATACTTAGCTCAACGAAAGCGAAGGGAAATTAGGATCGAATAGTCTTTGTATCACATCATCCCAGCTTTTTGGAGGTTTTTCTGTATGATTGTATCAATGACGCTCGTTATAACCAACTGCACTTGATTGGTGTCTGTTGCACATGTCTCGTGCATATAAATCGTCTTTTTGTCCGGATTTAAGTTCAGTTCGCTGAATTTCATTTTTATAAAACTCATTGCTTCTTCGTAATTCTGACCACCTAAAAATATTTGCTTCATGTTACTCTTATTTGCTTTTTAGTTTCTATCAAGGTTTGGGTTCAACTGCTGGGATTGGATCATTTTGCTCATCAGAGAGACATTTTGACACTTTGGACATAAGTTTGGGATTGAAGCATCTTCTGTTACAACGTCATTTGTTAAATCTCATGCTTTAGCAGATTTGTTGACAAGTAATGTTTGGGAAGACTTCGGAGTGGAATTTTGTGACTGATCCACTTGTTTAATATTAAATATTTTGAGTATATCATTTTTAATGTTTAACAATGTTTTGAATGTATCATTGATGAGCAAAAGTAGTAAAAAAAGACCATAAAAGAAAGAAATATGAGGTATATCATTTTCTAAGTTGAGTAAGTGTTAAGTAGGATTATTGTAGGGCATCTGCATTAGCTATTCTGCGGTTGGGCTCACTAAGGAATTTTTTTTCAATAACTAGTTTCAGTGGTTCGATTTTTCTGTTAAAATGAAATAAATTTTCGGAATTTATTTAGAAAAAGATTTTAGTGTGTCTGGATTTTTTCTTTCGTGACGTATTCAAATTTTACTTTTTATAGAGCTATCATTAAATGTTTTGAGTTTATGAATTAAACTGTTCGAAATATGTGAGAAGGTCTTCTCAAAAAAAGCTTTTAATTTTAGAAAATTGTGTGAAAGATTTTATTTGTTCTGGCGAAAAGAAATAGAATATTGCCTTCGTTAAAATAATGTAATGGGCAAAATTTGATGCACGCAACTGAGTAATAAGTAAGATGACTTTACTTTAATTGGATTGAATTTTATAAGTTGAGTAAGTGTTAAGTAGGAAGACTGTGCAACTTATTAAGTGTAGCTAAGACTATAAGCCTGCATAATGATAATGTAGGTGATATGTATTACATAGTTGTCTAATAATGTTATCTCAGAATAGAAAATTTCCTTTGTTTTCAACAAAAGCATTGTCACGACAGTTTATAAGCCAACTTTACTCTATTTAATTATTGTAGTGTTAAAAATAAAATAAGTTTGGGAGCCCTGGCTTTGAAAATTCTTTTTCCGCTAAGCAAAAGGATAACATGGATTGTAGGTAAGTCTGCACAAATTTATCTAGGGAAGCATTATTTTTCCGTCGAGTATTATCAAAAATATAAATGTCAATGAATCCAAAATGGGGGATGGGTGGTAATATAAAAAGAAAAGTCTCTAGCTCTTTGAAGGAGAATTCCAGAGCTCAAATTACATTTTTTTTTCTTCAATTAATAAGTTTTATAGAACTAAGCACAAAAAGATTGACCTTCATAATCCGGGAAGGCAGTGGTGATATTGACACGTTGAATTTTTTCAGCAAATAAATCTTTTTTGTTCAAAAATAAAATTATTGCCGTGGAAAGAAACCAAGTGCTGTTACAAATTGATGAAAACAGCTGCATCGATTCGATCATGCGATTCTGCAATACTTATTAATCGAACCAAAGATTATTTGGTGGATTAATTATTCCTCAAAAGAGACCATGGACTTTAAATTCGTCTGGTCAGTCCAAATTACTAACTTATAACAATGAATTGTTTAGCGTTACTAGTAAAAGATTTAGTCAATATGGAAGACATTATCCTTAACATCTCAAAAATATGAATATTCGACAGTTTCATACAATTTCACAATAAAAAAAGGTTTGAACTTAACACTGTGAACTGACCGTGGTTTCATCTTCGAAAAGCACTTGGTCATATTCGCTAACAGCCGTAATAAAAATAATTGACTCTACATTATCAAAGCAGTGGATCCATTTACGGCGTTCTGATCTCTGTCCACCAACATCAAATACTCTGTTCATAAACAATTACTTTTTTCAATTCTTTCTTATCTCAATAATAGGAATTATGTCAAACTCAATATTATAACCCTTGAAAATGAAAAGTGCAATGACTGAGAGAGAGAGAGAAAGAGGGAAAAAGAGAGAGCTAATCTTAGATTCATATACGTTTCAATCATAATACCTGAAGTCGAGTTCTTTTATTTTGAATTTAACTTCTACTACACCAGTTGTTGCTACACGACTAAACAGAATATCTTGTTCTGTAGGCCGATAACCGGGTTCATGTATTCTCATCACTGAATTCAGAAAACTGAAACAAATGAGCTCAACTGGAGATGAATTCATATGATGTTCAATAGGAAATTCACTATTTAAGCGATGAGTTGGAGATTTTCAACCTAATTATTATTTGTGAAATTTAATTTTAGATTATATCATTTATTAATTTACTATTTTGCAGAGTCGTTGAGCTGAAATTCGCTTCTCATGTCGGCAACTTTTTGAACATTTTTATCATTCCATAATGAGACAAGAGCTTTAGCAAGTTCATCAGTAAATGGTTCAGATTCATCGCCAGCCTCCACAACTCGGAAAACTATTTGTTTTTCAGGCTGTAAAATTCCTCTTTGTCAATTGTGATTGTACTATGATAAATTTTCATCCTTTTTGTCTCTTTATGCTTATTAAATAAATTTAACAACCAATATTGAACTGAATAAAGTTCAATTGATCTAGAAATTTGATCAACCAGCACTTTATCTTCTATTGTTGAAGCTAAAACATGATGGATGATTAATTCAATCTTTCGAAAACAGTTTATACTGTCAACCATTAAGGCTAACAGTCATTATAAATTGGAAGTTACAAGAAAATTGAATACTGTTATACTTCTTTGGAAGGATCCTCGAGTGGAATATGAACAACATTATCCATTGCTTTCAGTATTGCATACATCGATGTTACTGTGTTATTGTAAACCACTGCTTTACGCTCATTGATTTCATCTTCTGTGAAACCGTTGCTGTGAAGAATCCTGAGAATGTTTCAATATTGATAGGTCAGGGTGATTCTTTTCGAATTATTTAAAAGTTAAAAGCGCTTCAAGAGGAATCATTCAGAGAGAGAAACAGCATACTAATAATTCATATAAATTCTACGCAAATTTGAATTCAAATTTATCACTAAATTTTGTTTTGGAGACCTAGGTTTCGTTTCTGTTTTTTTATTCCAAATCACAATTTGTTTAATTTCCGTTATTTTAAATCACATAAATAAGATTTGAAAATTTGTAACTTGTTGAGCATATGAAACTTCTTAGAAACGTATATATTCCTAAACATAAACATCACTTTAAAATTATTTGAAATAATTGTTAAGAATTTTGTGCATGTTTATTCAGTTCTTATAATTAATAAACATTTCATTAATTTGTTTGTGATAGAAACTCCAAGCTAAAGTTCATAGCTCAAAAAAAAGGAAAGATTAAAACATGCTGCATTTGTTTTAATACGGTTGACTTGCCACATTCACCGGCTCCTGAAAAAAAATTAAGTAATAAAATATCAGGCAAAGATAGCAAATGTGCTATTCATTTCTTCATCCAATAAAGAGGAGAAAAGGAAAAAGAAATTTTTGACTCGCTGCAACACTAACTGATTAACATTTCACCACTACTGACTTATTTTGACATCTTTTTCATTTAGTTTGCTAAGGTATGTTGAAAAAGTTTAGAATATATGTAACTCTGAGTTCAGTTTGCTTCTTAATTCAGTTTGACTTTTCTAAGTGAAGAAAAAAGACAAACAGTAAGTAATTTTTAATATGACGAAAAATTGATTTTTTTTCCTGAGATTTAAATAAAAAGAAGATTTGTTTCATTGAAATTTCTTTGCACCTCTAGCTGTTTTGATGCTTAATCATTTTTATCGGAGTAATAGCTTTTGTTATGGGTTTAGCTAAGATTTCAAAAAAAATTGAAGGGATTTTTTTTTTATGATATATTAATTTAATGTATTTTCTGAATATTTATAGGTAAACAAAAATTTCAATCTAACTAGTAGACTAAATCTATAAAATATGAAAAAAAAAAAATTTATGTGTGAATAGTATTGAAATTAATTAGAATTTCGTGCTTCATAAGCTTCCATCAAAATTTGATTTCAATATAAAAGTTTTTATCTAATGATGTTCAAATGATAACAAATAAAATAATAAATTTCATATTAAAATACTAAGTTACAGAAGATAGAATTATTAAACTAGGTATTGTAAAACCATAATAATCATAGCTAGATTTCTGCAAAAATTAAACAATAAAGGGATTCAAAAAATGGAATAACAACCTAGGAGTAGCAACTTGACGATTGAAGAGCCAGTACGTTTATCCTGGTTAAGTTGCTTT